AAGCATCAGTTTTTGCCAGCTATGCCAACTATCAAAGGTCTTTCCATCAATAGACCTGAGCCAGTGGTGAGGTTGGTGGAATGATGAGACTTGCAAGCCAACACATCTGGCAGGGAGGACATTGGAGAAAGGCTGGCTGGGGAATTCTGGGAGTTGAAATCCACGCATTTTTTAAATTGCCAAGGTTAGAAACACTAAATTAAAGAAATGGACTCATTAACTCTATGCAACTGTAAATATTCCATTGCACGTACACAAGGTTAAAACTGGAGTTGGTTTTATTTTAAGTCAAGGGCTCCATACTTTGTCGTGACACCCCACCTCACTCATCAGGCATTCTATCTTCAGCCTCAATGTGGGTTTTGGCCTGAAAAATACTGTGGGGTCCCTGGTGGTCTGTGAGCTTGGTGGTTTCCTTGCAGATGTTTCATTACCAAACTAGGTAACATTATCAGTGTTAACATCACTGACGTTACTTAGTTTGGTAATGAAACGTCTACAAGACGACAATCAAGTTCACAGAGCAATAAGGACCCCATAGTCATCCTTTTCCTTCTCCTCCACAAACCACACTCTCTTTTAGCACTGATGATGTTACCTAGCTGGGTCATGAAATATCTACAAGGAAACCACCACGCTCAGAGATCACCAAGGACCTCACCGTTCACACCCGAGCCACAAATACTCTCTTCTATCTGAAGAAACCATTCCCTGAACATTTCTAATGATCTCAAGTTCCAGCAGAAATCCAAGAATGTGGCTTCAATGAGGGCATCTATGAAGCGTGCAGATAAAAAAAAAAAAAAAGTCCTCCAGAATCTCACTCACTCGTTGAGTTTATATATTTTCTCTGAAAAAAAGACTTCATCCAGAAGCTTGTGGATGTTCCGTCTTTCTGCTGCTAACAGCACTCCATTGTTGGCAAGAATTCCCAAGCAGGTCCCAGCGTGTCCTATGGCTTCCATTGCATATTCAACTTGATACAGGCGACCTAGGAGAAGAAAACGAAGAGCCGTGTTAAGGGGACAAACCTGAGGCCACCACCTCTCATTGAAGTATCAGGATACCGAAGCCAACCGTCTGTACAATGGTAATGCTATAACAGGGGTCGGCAACCTTAAACACTCAAAGAGCCACAAAGGCCCTAACCGGAAGCCCCCATTCAATTCTGGAGCCGACCGGAAGTCTGTTCCCCCCCACCCCCCAATAGAGTCTCCTCCTAGCACGGCGTCCTTTTTCTTCTAATTTTTCTCTTCAATACCTAGCTCTCTCAACTGAAAAAAAGGGAATGAAAGTATAAGTTCACAAGGGGATCACAGAGCTGGAATTCAATTTAGAATATCTCTGATTACACGGCTATCTGGTTCTCACTGCGTGTCTTTTTGTCACATGGAATTACAGAGTAACAGGGCCGGAAGAGATCTTGGAGGTCTTCTAGTCCAACCCCCTGCTTAGGCAGGAAACCCTACACCACTTTAGACAAATGGTGTTGAATTAATTAATGAATTACCTTCGGGAGAAAAGATGGTCGTTCGAGAATCATATCTTCGAGACTGCAAGGAAAAAGTTTCGTTTTGTTAGTGAATAAAGCACTCAATGACAAAAAAGAGTGATCTTAACACTGCCAATCACTGGGACAATAAGGAGCACCTTTGGAATAACAATTCAAGGCAGCCATCAAACCTCTGTCAGGTATGGCTCTGCACCACTGCATTCTCTGTGAAATTAGCCCAAATCTGAATAGGCTGCTCAGAGTTGTCTTATAGGGAAGATGGGCAGCATATAAATTTAATGGATGAATAACTACTCATAGGGACCCCCAAAGAAGTGACTGAGAAGCACAGAAGAGTTTACTTTTCCCCTGAAAAAGCGAAGGACAATTAGGCAGGTGGACTTGTTATAAAAGGGGTATGTCATTCATGTTTAATAATGGAATGGACCAGACTGCATAGCTGCTCTGATACACACAGCCTAACATTTATGATCTACACAACCCAAATTTTGAAACTGGGACACAGAAACTTACCATGGTGCTTCTGGGTTAGACTACGCTGTAAAAGAGAGAAAGAGAAAAAATCCAATTATGCACAGATTAGAAATTTGACACGTGTCAAAATCAAAACATTCCAAATTTCCAATATAACTATGCTGAGATAGTAAGAAAAGCTGGTCTCTGGAAGAAAGGATGTTAAAAGAATCTTTATTAGGAAAGCAAAGATTCCTGTGCCCACAAATGCTACTGAACTAAGTTCAATAAAAGATACTTCATTTCGCTTAAAAGCTTCCACTGTCATCTCTAACTTGCTGAAGTTGTGAATTGTGAAAGCAAAACTAGAAGCAGTTTCTCAATGTTTTGGGGAGTGTTGCAATCATCAGGAAATGGCTAGGAATACAAGATGAGACCGGGCCTTTGATAAAAAGTGACTGGAGCATTGGGCTAGAAACCAGGTGACCATGAGTTCAAGTCTGCTTCAGACACAAAACTAGCTGGGTAGCCTCATCCAATTTTCCATGCATTCAACTAGACTCCTCCAGGATAACCCACATATCAGGATAGAAAGCAATTGGGTTTTGCATTCAGAAGACAGAATATTCTTGGTAGAAAGATCCTCCTCTTTAGTAGCACCAGGCTAGAAATCAGGAGACCATGAGTTCTAGTCCTGTCTTAGCTACGAAGCCAGCTGGATAACCTCTCGGCCCTAGGAAGGAGGAGAGGCAAGAGCAAACCGCTTTTGAAAAGGTGGACAAGAAAAGTGCATGGATAGGCAGTTATCAGAAAACGAGATTTGGTACCAAGGTGCACGGGGCACACAAAAAAGCAGAGCTTAACTGAAATTTAAATCCATATGTATTAGCGAGCCCAGGATTCCAATACATACTAGACATTTTACCCGTCTACTTTCCTTTCTACTTATCTATCCATCCATGCATCTACCCACCTGCCATCCATCTATTACACTATTGCATCCATCCACCCACCTACCTACTTACCTACAATCCATCTATCCGTCTCCCTATTCACTTACTTACCTACCCACCCACCCACCCACACTCCATTCTTCCATCTATCCCCCAACTATCCATCTACCTATCCGCCCTCCCTCCATCTACCTACCTACTTACCTACCCACCCACACTCCATCCCTCCATCTATCCTCCAACTATCAATCTATCTATCCACCCTACCCACTACTTCATTCTTCCATCCCCCAACTATCCCCCCTCCATCTACCTACCTACTTACCTACCTACCCACCACTCCAATCTTCCATCTATCCCCCAACTATCCATCTACCTATCCCTCCTCCCTCCATCTACCTATCCACCTACTTACCTACCTACCCACCACTCCATCCCTCCATCTATCCTCCAACTATCCATCTACCTATCCACCTACCCACTACTCCATTCTTCCATCCCCCAACTATCCCCCCTCCATCTACCTACCTACTTACCTACCTACCCACCACTCCATCCCTCCATTTATCCTCAACTATCCATCTACCTATCCACCTACCCACTACTCCATTCTTCCATCTATCCCCCAACTATCCATCTACCTATCTACTTATCCACCTACTTACCTACCTACCCACACTCCATCCCTCCACCTGTCTCCCTATCCACCTAACCTACCCACTCCCCCACTCCCTCCCCCCTCCCCCTAACCACCCACCCACCTACTCACCATTTCCCTATCTACCTACCCACCGTCCATCCATCCCCCCCAACTATCCACTTACTTACTTAACTACCCACCCACCCACCCACCCTCCATCCATTATTCCTTCCTTCCCATCTTCCTCCCTCCCTCCCGCCTCTTCCTTTCGGCCGCCACTCCAGCCATCTGCCTACCTGCTTACTCACCCACCCACCCATCCAGTCCCCGAAATTTTTATACTTTTGGCGTATAAAATCGCTCCATTGGTCTGCCCGTCCTCAAGTGGCTCAAGACGCTGAGCTTGTCGATCAGAAAGGTCGGCAGTTCGGCGGTTCGAATCCCTAGTCCAGGTCTCCTGCGTGAGCAGGGGGCTGGACTAGATGACCTCCAAGGTCCCTTCCAGCTCTGTTATCACCTACCTACCTACCGGCCCGCCTACCTATTACGGTGACTATGGATCTTCTTACGCCCCCCCCCTCACTTGTCTACCTATCAATACACCTGCCTGCCAATCAATCAATGCGATGAGAGCCATTTTTCCCTATTCCCTTCCAGGAGCTGCACAGTCATCCTCCCAGCCGGGAGAAAGGCGACAGTCCCGGGGAGACAGCCAGCAGAGGAAGACCCACCGGCAGCCGGGGCCGCCCCCGTCCCACCCTCCTGCCCCGTGAGGGGCTCCGACCCGGCGGCGTCCGGCTCCCCTCGAAGAGAGACCCCCCCCCCTTCGTCCCCTCACCTGCGCCCGCTCTTCGCCGCCTTCCAAAATGGTCGCCTCGCGCCTGCGCACTCCCGACCCACTCAGGGAGCCGGCCGGTATAGAGATTTCCAATCCTAGACAGGGTCCTTTTCGAGCCGGAATTCCGGAGCGTGGCCTCGGGCGCCATGTTTGTTGTGGGCAGTCCGCTCAGACGTTGGGGGGATTTAAATGGGTTGGACACTTGGGTTGGGGGTGTCTATAAATGAAGGAAGCTTTCTATTTCAGCAGAGAGCAGCTCTTGGCTGACAGGCATAGAAGTAGAATTTATAATTGATATAAACGAAGGATGATAAATCTTGAAAGGATAAGTAGGGTAGGACTTTGGATGGGAGACCACCAGGTAATCCACAGCGTAGGTTAGACTGGGAACGAGCATCTTGAGAGAACCATGTTCTGTACGGCCAGGAAAACTTGCATGGAGAGTAAAGAAGCTCAAATAAGGATGTATTTTGTCAGACTAACAATAAATAATCACTCTCAGAACTCCAAAACATGTGTACGGAGGGGGAAAAAAACCCCGATGTTGTGTTTTGTCTTTTAAAAGCAAATATGTAAATACACCAGGCTATACTTTGCAACAGGTCTTATCTATATATTTTATTGAAATCCAGCAGCAATTTGGTCTTTATTGTTGGACTGGCAGAGGAACTAAGCCTCAATGGGGTTTCTAATGCTCCGGGCATTGTAAGTCTGTTGTTGTGGTGTTTTCCAAAGGAGGAGTCAAATAAAGTTTCACAACGTAGCCTATTAGCCTTGGATTTCCCATGTTTAAAATCGTTGTCAAATGTTATAAGGCACATGAGGCTTTTGTGCTATGCAGAGATGTACAAAGGTTAATAAAACCACCTTACTGAAGGTTCAAGGGAAGATTTACGAACATTTTGTATGGATTCTCTACACACCAGACAGGGGCAAAAGCTGAGAGGACTTCACACCAACCCTCTTGACAAAAACTACGAAGAAACGTCGCTTTATTCCAAAAAAAATGTGCGGAATGTGCTAATGAAGATTATCAACAAGTTTCCATTCTGTAGGAAGATTAGTTCTTGCTGCCAATCCCCCAGCTGAACATCTGAACGCAAAAACAAATTGATATTTTCTTTCTCTCAAAATAAAACAAAACAAAATAAAACAAAACCGCATTTTACATGTATAACTGGATTGGGCCCGAAAACAGTTCTTCAGTAGCAACATAAACTTTCCCAGTTGTATGTTGTTGTTTTTTAAATTTTGTGCTGACTTCCCCTAATTCCACCTTGTTAATATCGATTAATGGTGTTCATTTCCGATAGGATTCTGCTGTCTGAAACCAGATTTGTTCAACCGTCTCTTGGCCCATCTCGACCAGCATCATCAAATGCTTCCACCCCGTTTTGGCTGTGATCATTAAATATTCTTCGTTCTCGGGGTGCAGGAGGGTGGTGTGAGCGGCAACCACCAGCGACTGGGCGTACCTCCCACACACCAGGAGAAACAGGGCGTCTCGCTCTTTTGGGGTCAAAGGAACCACGCTTTCAAACCCAGCCAGGATGTGGCCGCCCACCGAGAGAGGGTCTTTGCTTTCGATCATCATGTACATGATGGCGATGGCGACTTCGAAGACGTAGTAGCCGTAACTCATGTCGCTGAAATCCAAAATCCCAGAGATTCTGTACTGTGGATTTGGAGAGGATGCGGAAACCACGTCAAGTAGAATATTGTGGTCGTTCAAGTCCCCGTGATTGATGCCTAAATGGAGGAGAGAGACGGTCACTCGAGGCTACATAGATGGGGAACTTTACGGATGACTGCTTTTCTCGTGTCACAAAGCAGTTTAGGGACAGCTTAGTGAGGAACGGACCTTTCCTCGCCTATTCTGGTGGTTAAGGCTACAATCAGTCGTTGAAAAAATGGCAGAGAAGCAGATTTATTTATTTCTAGTTTGTATTTCTTAACCGCCCATCTCCCTCAAAGAGATTTAATTTAATTCAGCCTTTGGAAAGGAAGAGCCACTTGACAATGGAACAGTCTCGCTTGAGAAGCGTTCTCTCTCTTGTCTATCTGTCTGTCTATCTATCTATCAATCAATCTACCAATCAATCTATCATATTTATCAATCAATCTCTCTATCATCTATCACCTATTTATCAATTCCATCCATCCATCCAACTATCCAACTATCTATCATCTATCTATCTATCTATCTATCTATCTATCTATCTATCTATCTATCTATCTATCTATCTCATCTCTATTTAACCAGTCAGCCATGTCTGTCTATTTGTATATCTATCTGTCCTCCCATCTAATTTGCAGAGCTGCCCATCTTATAATGGGGGAATATCATGCTGGAGGTGGCTGATAGATTAATAACAGATCCCACCACCTCCTCCCCTGTTCAGCCTACTCCCTCCCCCCAATCTTTTCGTTTTATTTATAGCTGATAATTTGTATTTTTATACAAATTTTGCTCTTATTGTATAAAGACTGTTGTATTGTTTTTAAATTGTAAGCTGCCCAGAGTCACCTTGTGGTTAACATGGGTGGCAAATAAATAAATGAAATAAAGAAGGAAAGGAGAGAAGGAAGGAAGGAAAGAAAGAAAAAAGGAAGGAAGGAAGGAAGGAAGGAAGGAAAGAAGGAAGGAAGGAAGGAGCAAGCTTCCCAACAACTAAAACAGAAGCAAGTTGTTTCTTCATCTTGCCATGAGTAAAGGAAAAGCAAGAAAGAGATCTTATCATAACCAAATAAAAAATACTTACAGGATTGAAAAGAGCTCAGTTTTGGAATGACGTTAACTTGGAACTGCTCAATCACATGTTTCACTGCGTCCAGATATTCGCTCTTGCCAAGAGCATACAGGTATTTTTTAAGAAGAGGAACATTTCTCAGATTCCAGATAAATTCACCCCTGTGTAAGCTTTTTAACAACGGATGCTGGAATTTCTTTGAAGTGAGAAGAAAAACACAATAAATAAATCATTTTTTTTGCAAGGATAATGGACATATTTTTGGGCTGATAACATCATTCCAGAGGGATTAGACTGCAGAGTTTTATTGTTCTAATGCAGCAATTAATATGGATATTCTTGTTCCTGAATTCCACTGATAAATCCCAGATTATAAGTATTTTACCAAGGCAGTATTAATGAAGCCCAAATATCCTGGGTTCTCTATTATTTATTTGTCTGGCTAGACTGTTGTAATTATTGAATATTGAAATATACATACTGCAGGGGTGTCCAATGTTGGCCATTTTAAGACCGGTGGACTTCAGCTCCCAGAATTCCCCAGCCAGCCATATTGGATGGGGATGCTGTGGTCCGCCAGCAGCCTGCGGAGCTGGCAGCGGAGTTGGACAACAAGGAGGCTGGGGAGGACCATGGGCCAGTCCTGGAGTCAGGGGAAGGCCCGGACGAGGGCTCTGAGTCGGAGGCAGAGATGAGCCAGGGCCATCTGGGAGCGATGCACGGACACCGGAGCCCCCAGAGTCGGACAGCAGAGAGGCAGAGGAACAGGAGGAGCCTGTTCCTAGTGCACGCATGCGAAGAGCTGCCAGAAGGCAAGAGCAGCTAAAGCAAAAAGGACGACTCGGGAGTAAGGCCAGGAGATGATGGGCCCCTCCCAGAAGGCTTAAAAGAGCAGCAATGGCTCTTGGGATCTTTGTAGGAAAGCAACTTTCTCTTGCTTCTGAACTTTTGCCAAGAAAAGCCTTTGGCAAGATGCCAACGTAGACAAAGGTTGGTGATAAGGCGGAAGGACTGTTTACAAAGAATTTGTTTTGGACTTAATGTGGACTAAGCTGAGAATGAAATCATTCTCAGCTGTTCTAATAAAATATGTTTGTTTAGGACTGATTGTGTCTGGTAATAACTACTTGGGCCTAGGTCACAACAGGGGAATTCTGGGAGTTGAAGTCCACAGGGCTTAAAGTGGCCAACGTTGGACACCCCTAATATAAAGTGTGGTTACAACAGGAAGCTTCATGGATTAAATTTCCCATAGGTCTTCTCTATATAAAGTTGCAAAGTCTCTTGGACAGGCAAACCTGGACTCAAATCCTACCAATGGTCTAACACGGAAATAAATTCCCATTTCTTTCCCTCTGTAAAGCCCCGTCGTACCACCTCACCTCTGCCAGCGTTTTATCGAGCTTGGCTGCCATCTGCCCAATGTCGTAGAGAATTGGCGGAGTCACGGGGAGGGTGGCGACAGTTTTTCCAGGCAAGTAGCTCAACAACCTCACCACAAACTTCTGGGTGAAGGATCCAATATCTTAAAAGAGATAAAAAGAAACCTTAAATCACTCGCCGCTTCACAGCTATTGCCCAACTGAGATGCATTCTCTTATCGCTCTGCTGTTGAGCAGAGAACTGCTCAAAATTTCTGCTACCAGTTCTCTGAACTGCTCAAAATTTCTGCTACCAGTTTTCCGAACTACTCAAAGTTTCCACTACCGGTTCTCTGAACTGCTCAAAATTTCTGCTACCAGTTCTCTAGAACCTGTCAGAACCTGCTGGATTTCACCCCTGGTTGCAAGTCATAATGCTTGTCTTTGCGATATTAAGCAATCAACTGTTTTCCATGGGCACAGTCTTGCCCAAAACCAGAAGTGGCAGTTTGCTGTTTGCTAGTATCTTCTTTCATTAATTGAACCCTAAAGCAGCCAAAACAGAATCGAAGGAGGAATTAACAGGTTTGGGGAAAGTTGAAAGATTGGAAGACGTACCAACCCATCTACAGGACACATCCAAGCACTGATGATGTTCCCTAGTTGGGTAATGAAATGTCTGAGAATCTCCACAGACAAAAGGCAGAACTACAGAGCCCGTAGTACAGTGGACTAAAACACTGTTATTAACATCTGCTGCTTGCAATTACTGCAAGTTCAAATCTCCCCAGGCTCAAGGTTGACTCAGCCTTCCATCCTTTCAAAGGTAGGTGAAATGAGGACCCAGTTTGTGGGGGCAATAAGCTGACTTTGTATAAATATACAGAAGTATGAAGGCTATTGCTTAACGCATTGTAAGCCGCCCTGAGTCTCCGGAGAAGGGCGGCATATAAATTAAAGCAAAAAATAATAATAATTTGAATGCTAACAATACGTTCAGCTTTCCTCACCGACTGTTTCCAGAAACAACACCTTGCCATCCCGTGTGAGACGGGGCATGGCCACAGGAAAACCCTCGCCATTCAGAAACATCATGATCTGGGTCTGAACCTCGACCAGATCTGAATTCTGGCTATCTTCAGCGTTTATAATCTTGAGGACAAAGTCCCCAGCGCTTTCTCCTTTCCCTGGGAACGAAGCGGCGCTCACGTGGAAATTCTGATCGTCATAGCTGGGCAGCGGTCTGAGCTGGGAGACTTCCAGTCCAAATATCCTTTGGACCAGTTCGGCGGCTTGCTTTTCGGTGAATGTTGGCTTAATCAGGGGGTGACCCTCCTGCTGCTGCTGCTGCGGTGGCGGCTGCTGGTCTCCAGAAGACATGGTGCATCTAAAGAGGAGCAAGAGAAACAGCTGGGTTTCCCTAACTTATCAGTAGCTGCCAACTGCCAAATTGCAAACCCAAAGTCCAAAGTTGGGGTCTGGAGAATTCTGGGAGTTGAAGTCCACCCATCAGAAAGGTGCCAAGGTTGAGAAATACGCTGATTGGAATCAGGGTTATTTGCTATTAGTTATTCCAAGTACACAAGCTATGCAAATATGCTCCTTGACTAGTCCTTTATTAAGAGAGGAAAGTCATATCTGTCTGCCTGCCTGTCTGTCTGTCTCTATCCATCTATCTATCTATCTCTATCTAATACGTCTATCATCTATCTCTCTGTCTCTATCTATCTAATACGTCTCTATCATCTATCTATCTATCTCTATCTATCTGTCTCTATCTATCTCTATGTAATATGTCTCTATCATCTATCTATCTATCTCTATCTGTCTCTATCTATCTATCTCTATCTAATACGTCTCTATCATCTATCTATCTATCTCTATCTGTCTCTATCTGTTTCTCTCTGCCTGTCTATCTATTTATCTATCTATCTATCCATCTATTCATATCTATATCATCTCTACTTGTCTGTTTATCTATCCATCTATCCATATCTATATCATCTGTCTATCTATCTATCTATCTATCTATCTATCTATCTATCTATCTATCTATCTATCTATCATCTCTGTTTATCTCTCTCTATATATTTCTCTCTCTATGTATATTTCTCTCTCATCTATCTCTCTCTCTCTCTCTCTAGCCATCCTTTTAAAGGTCTGTTGAAAGACAGAAGAACTAGTCAGCCCTTGGAAGGGCAGAATTTCTGTTTGAAGCTGAAATCAGATTTCTTACCTGGGCAATATAGGTGTTTAAACGTCTCCACCGTAAGCCAGTTGTGCAAGGAAAGGGTTGTTCCTTTGTCAAAGTCCGCGGGGACCTGCTGAAATGTTTTCCACGCGTGCGCGCAACCTAAACGAAAGCAGAATGCAGTATTTTCTTGCCAGGTGGAGCAGTACAGCAGCCGGATGCACAGTGCCAGCTAGGAATAAAATAATCCTAAATAAATCCAATTGCATTCACGGATCGGGAAAAATCCCGACCTGCAAACCCACAGCCCGCGTGGACATCTGCTGCCGTCCAATGAAAGGAAGGCTTAGAAGTTGGTTTGGCGTCGCCTGGGACCGTTTGTAAGGAGGCTTCCAATTGGCTGTAAGGAATTTAGCTTCCCACCTCCCCCCCCCCCCCCCCCGATTCAATGGTTGGTGATTATATTCCTTTCTCGTGTATTTCTGATATCAGAGTTACTATTTTTTTTTTAAATTAAGATCACATTAAAAAGCCCAAATTGGACAGACTTTTATCTGGAGCGTAAATATCTTCCCCCCCACCCTCGACTTTTAAAAGGGAATTTTACATCTGAAGAGTTGGTTAAGTTTGAAGCTTGCATTGCTCTTCCTATATTCCCATATCTGCAATTTCTGCAGAATTGCAAAGCCTGTTTAAAATTTTAGGACAGTTTTTAGGAACTTGTGGAAGAAGTGTGGAATTCTGGGAATTTTTTTTTATTTTTTTTAAATTTTTTTTTATTTGATTTATATGCCGCCCTTCTCCGGAGACTCAGGGCGGCTTACAATGCGTTAAGCAATAGCCTTCATTCTTTTGTATATTTTATACAAAGTCAGCTTATTGCCCCCACAAACTGGGTCCTCAATTTACCCACCTTAGAAAGGATGGAAGGCTGAGTCAACCTTGAGCCTTGGCGAGATTCGAACCAGCAGAAATTGCAGGCAGCTGTGTTAATAACAGGGTGCACTAAACCACTGTACTATCAAGGCTCTTTTGGAGTCCACGCTCCTTAAAGTTCCCAAGGTTGGGAAGCGCAGTTTTAAGGGTGTGGGCCCAGGGGGAACTGAAATAAACCCAACTTTTTCCGAGATGGTTATATGGTTTTCTTCTAACGATCTCGTGCAGCGTTCGAGCAAGATGATTTTCTTGCTCAAAACGCTGCACAGGTGCTTTGGAGCTGACATTTTTACAACCGTGCAATCCAGGACAGTAGCTGGGTTTGCACGAGGGACGACTAGGCTGTTACCATGATTTGATATTTGTGCAAAGCCAACTGATTACTATTTAAGATTTGTGACTTTGGTTGCTGGGTGAATCCATTCCCAATTAAGAAATTCAGTAAATCAAGGGTTAAGCAAAGTCATGCTGAAATAAGAATGGATCCAGTGGTGAAATCCAACTTTTTTTACTGCTGGTTCTGTGGGCGTGGCAGGGGAAGGATACTGCAAAATCCCCATTCCCTCCCCATTCCTGGGGGACGGATATTACAAAATCCCCATTCCCACTCCACTCGGGGGCCAGCCAGAGGTGGTATTTGCTGGTTCTCCGAACTATTCAAAATTTCCACTACTGGTTCTTTGAACTGCTCAAAATTTCTGCTACCGGTTCTCCAGAACCTGCTGGATTTCACCCCTGAATGGATCCCAACTTTACACTTTCACTCTCAAACTCCCAAGAGGAGAGATTTATCAATATAATATTCTGAATATAACAAGAGATTTAAACTTCTATAATCAGCAGATTAAATGAATGTAAAGGAAAGCAAATTGAGATTTCAGGTGAGAGAAAATTGCTGTTAGATTTAATTGAACGTTACCTGGAGTTCCAGACCATTGTATAGACATTCTCTGTTCAGAAATGATTAACTGGTCATTTAATATCAAGACAAAATCTAATTTTAAAGAATTTAAAAGAAGAATCTTTTCTTCCTTATTTGGATGGAGTGAAAGAATTCACCATGGGAAATTTCCAGCTGCTTGATCCCTAGATAGTCCCATTTCTTTCAATGAATCTGAACAGACATGGTTGTGTCTACTCGCAAAGACACAACCGTTGTGATGCATATTCCATGCTTACCTCTCTCAAGACTGTATCCTAGGGTTACCTACAGCAGCTGAGGGGAGTGACCTCTACAACCCTCAAAATTGCTCCGCTGGTGAATGTGATTGATGACACACTCTGGTGGGAGGGGGGAAACAGGTTCATAATTGGAGCGTAAATTACGTAGGGTCAGAGCTGGCTTCACTTGGGAACATGCGGACATGAAGCTCCTAATAAATAACTGGATTTCTTTTGAAGCTTGGCTCGAGACTCATAATTCGGGACCCTGACAGGTTGTTTAAAACTTTGCGTGGACTCGTCGTAATTCATAAAAAACGATGTTTCCCAAACCTGGTTTATGACACCTTTTCGCAACATCACAAACCTTTTAGGAAGCAATGAATGTCCTCAGCCACTTTTCCATAACTATGGCGACCGCTTTGACTGATCTAGAGTCCCCTTGAATATTTGCCAAAAAGGTAGTTTAAAAAAATAGGTTGCCAGCTGAGACTTGGTACAACTTTTCTTTATTAAAAATAATTTACATCCGTTTAACATTTTATGCACAATTGTCAGCAAATTCAAACTTTTGTCTTTTCAGAGATCTATACAATACTTATGAGTGAACTGGAAACCATCGTAGACGGTTAATAATGGGCTTAGAAGGTGCAGTGGCTCGTGTGAGAATAATAGAATGCAGGTATTATTTTGCTGTGATATAATTGATTACATTTATAACTCTTCCCCCCCTAAGTTTGGTAACAATCTAATCAAGGGCTCAGTTGTGCTTCTTTTCAGAAGCCAAATCGAAGAGAGGAATGAGAAAAACCAGACACTTTTCCAGTTTTTGTGATTTTTGCCTTACTTGAAAATCCAAGATTATGGTAAGACTATGGAATACCCAGGGCCTTTTGATTAAAATACACCGTGCACTGCCAATGTGAAAAGAATTCGGACAGGTGGTTTGGCTTCCAGTTAATAGCACTACAGGTCTCCTATCCCAGTGTCTAAATCATTATGTTTTTATTGGTTTAGAAAGGGATTTAATCCATGCAAGCCTGCAGGTTTATGATATCGTTCAAAAGGTTTTTGAGGTCCTCCAGAGGTGAGGACCATCATTTTCAGAAGCCACCTCATTCTCTTCTAAAGCTGTCTGAAATCTTTGAGATTTGGTCAGCTCAGGGCTTTCAGCTTTTTAAATAAATGAAAACTTACCAATGTCAGTCAGGAGCTCTATTGTGGTTCACACATTATGTCCATCTCGCATTCAATCTATTTATAGTCAGTTCTCCCCAGATGTTCATCGGAAATTAAAGTGTTTTTTTTTTTTTAAATAAAAAGGATAGGGTTGCAACCTCCAAAATATTATCTTTTGAATGTAAGAGGAAAAAGCGAAGCCATGTCAATGAGTTTGACCAAGGGTGGGCCACTATGGTTACTTTGGACTTCAATTCCCAGAATTCCTGAGCCAGCATGGCTCAGGAATTCTGGGAGTTGAAGTCCATAGCTCATACAGTTCCCATAATTGCCCGTTTCCAAGTTTGACCTAAAATATGGGTCATAATTTGGACTTGACTTTTGGAGACCTGCAATTGGACGGATCTTCTAACATCTATAGGCCAGAATCATTAGCCAGGTGGGGGGTCACACATCATGTAGCAAGAACAGTCACCTGGGGTAGGTGGGCTGGAGGTGAAGCTGGTTATTTGAACCTACCCATCTGAAAGAATGTCAGATATCTGCACCTAGACACAGATGGAGGCCATTGGTAGATGATGCTCGACTTCACATTACTGTCAGATTACTAAAAAGGTCAGCAGTGTCTCTCTCCCCAATTAGAAGTTCTGAAAGAAATGCGAAATTGGAAGTTCTGTTTTGGGGATTCCAAACTTGGCAACTTTAAGACTTGTGGACTTCAACTCCCAGCATGAGTGGCTGAGGAATTCTGGGACTTGAAGTCCACGAGTCTTAAGGTTGCCAAGTTTGGTGACCTCTGGGTTATGGGTCCGTGGGATATAAGGCACCCTGGTTTTTAGCATTTTACTTGGGAGGAGAGGAAAACAGTGCTTTGAACCTAATAATAATAATAAAGAAGATGCATGGAAGCTGGAAATAAATAATAATTTAGATACCAAAAGTGAGATATTCCTATTATTTTTTGCCATTTGTGATCATCAAGACAGAACTTCTAAGCATTTCATTGGAATCAGAGAAAATCATTCAATAATAAAGGAAAGTTACTGATGGTAAAACTAGAAAGTGACAAACGTAAGCACAGCTGATATGGTAGAAAAAAATATGGACTCAAGAAAAGATGTCTATGATTATAGCTTAAAGAGCTTGTTGGAAAAATAACTAGGGTTCAAATGGACTGAGCAGAAAGTTCCACAGACTTTTATTGCTACCTCTGTAATCCGTATTTCTAATAATTTGGCCTCAAAAGAGAATCTAGTAAGTGTGCAAATTAATTTGTCTTTCAGAACTTAAGGATACTTTTAAGCCACACAGAATTTACTAGAAGTAAATTATTCAATAACATGAGGTCGATAACATGGGGTCTGTTTGGTTTAATCAAAAACCCAGGTCTATAAACAACTTAAGTAGAAAAGACTTTTCAAATGAGCTCAGGATATTTCCGCTAAAAGAAATCTCCTGTTAATAATAAACCAAAAATGGCTGTAAACATCTGGGGACTTAACAAATTCCTGCTCCTCAGAATAAAGTCACTACCGCTATCCCGAATAAAGTCTTTTTGGAAAGAACAGAATGACTGGAAGAAAACTTGGGAGAAGACTCATTTTATAAACCCACCAGGTTTTGTTTACTGCACAAACTGAAGAGAAGAAACAGGAATTTTTCTCTGTTCTTCTAAGGACCAGAGAACACTGCTCAGCTTCCTTTAACAGCCAAAGCCCAATTCAGGAAAGAAGGGTGATGATGTTTAAACAAAATAAATCAAATTAAATTCCATGATAGCTACTTGTCAGGACAGCTAGAGAGCCCGGAGAGATCACTGCTAGCTTCTCTTTGGAAAACATCAATTCCCCCCAATTGAATTTGTTTTGGAATTTTTCACAAAGCAAGATTTTTGCCCGGAGAGGATCTGGCTCAGTGTCTGGGACCGATTCCCAGAAATTTCCACCTGATGAGGCCACTGCACCGTTCCACTTTTCTGGAAGGCACCGAATAGGGCAACTATGACAACGTTACGACTGGTGGATTCAACTCCATTAACAATTGAAGT